ATGAATATGCGTTGCGTGTACATGTGCTTAACATATATAATAAAAAATTTGATGTGTACAGCACATGACTTCCTTGTACGGAATATTAAATTAAACGCATTTTTTCTTGCATTTCATTTGAACTTATTGGATTGAATTAAATCTACTTCGCCGACAGCGCATAAACCACAATAGAATAAATGCATTCTTTAAAATTCATTCTAGTATTTGTTTACCATAGCGACACTCTGGCGCTAGATCCACTTAACAGTATTAATAATTATATAACATTTAACTTATATAATAATTATATAACGGAAACTAAAGCTATAAAACTACTATATTTCGTTCATATTATAACTCAAAATGCACAAAATTTATATTATTTAAAGAATAGAATTATCTAATCGTTGCCACATGTTCTATTCAAATACTATAATAAAGCTAGAATGATGTATAAAAGAAATTAAGCAAACAAAACAAAAAAGAAACAGTTTTTCACAGACGATTGAGTATTTCTCATTCAATTAATTCAGTTCTCACTTCGCGAGAAGGCAAAAATACATAAAAACTCAAAATATCTATATTAAAAATTACGAAGTAAATCTCAAACACGTATTTCCTCGAAAAAATTCCAGAAAGAATTAAGCATGATTTAATTGGCAATAATGAATGAATGCGTTATCTTTGTTGTTGCGAAGCTAAGTTTCTCTAGATTGGCAACAAATCCACTAGTCTCCTGTTTCAAATGTAAACATCAATGGCCGCCATAAAAAAAAGGCTTAGCGGCACTTAGACAACTTTAAAATTGTTGATAATTCTAAAAATATTGCGTACAGATTTACTAAAGGCATAAAAACCTTAACCGGAAGATAAAAACAACATAATACAATCATTTTTAAAGCAAAAAATGTACAATTTACAAACATATAAGAGTAAAGAAACTGAGATCACTGAGCCGGGTAACAGAGTGGATATATATATAAATATATTTATATACGTTTGGTGCGGCCGATTGCAACCAAAATACGAGGTGCACATCTACATGGTTATAGCAGTCCTATATACAAAATTTCAACGTTCTGAGGCTACTCGTTTTTGAGTTATGCGAGATACGTACGTACGCACGTACGTACATACGTTCGTACAGACGCCACGAAAAATTTTCTTTAGAATTTATTTTAAAGCAGTTTTATAATTTTTTTGAAGCAAAAGAGTATTTTATTCTGTCCTTACGTACAGATATCACGCAAAAACATCGTTAAATTGCATTCGATAGCGGTCAAAAATGGATATTTTCGTTGAAATATGCTGCCTGAAACTTTTCGCGATTACAATATTTCCTTTTTACTTCGTACAAGGAAATAAAAAGGAAATTAAAAATATCTTTGCCTTGTTATGTACCCCTTCCTCGTGGCAGGCAATGTATTTGTCATCGACATTTGAAAAGTGTATTTTCATCATAAACTGACTCTGAATTTTGTCATAATAATTTACTTTTTAACTAAAGATGGAAAAAATATTAAGGGTAACTTTAAAGTATACAAATTACAATCTGCACCTGCAGACTGCAGACTGAAAGCTTAGTATTGAAACCGTAATGAAGTTCAGTGCTACTAAACCAAATTTTTATTACCAAAATATTATACTGATCATCATTTTTTACTTCATTGCCTCCATCCGCAAAATACCATTTCTTTTAACAGAAAAACTAACACTTAAAGAGATTTTCTTTCAAATATTTCCAAGAAAAATAACTGCATTAATATATGATAAAATAAATAACTTGAATTTGCATTAGTCCCTTAATTTTGTCCTATTGTACCATTCTAATCTAGTTATTTCCTCTTTCCATCTTTAATAATATTGTAGAGTTTACGTTTAGGTTTCATATCAAGCTATTTTATGTTAATCATCTTTCTTACCTCCATCATTTTTATTTTCCTGCCCAAATGTAAATTTGTTAGCTTGCATGATATTCAAATGAGTTAGAAAGAAGAAAGTATTTAAAGGAAGGTTTTAGAGAGTAGAATTAGAGCGTGTTCTGCCTGCTGCAGGCCACGTTTCTAATTTGATTTCCTTGCGAACAGTATTCTGCGGCGATGCGTTATTCTTGCCATTAGACTTGTTACACTGACCTTAGGTCACAGCTAGTGTGCGTGTTATTCCATTTGTGCTGCCATTAGACTAACTTAATAGTCTTAGTTTTAGTTCATACATTTTAAGCCATGATTTTTGGCTTCTACTGATAAGCACGAGTGATGTCGTCTGTTTATTTTTATCTTGGTCAAATAAAAGATCCATTTACACCCTTTCCTTGTCTCTCTGGTACTTAAAAGTCATAACGATAATTCGTTTCAGTCTTAAGAGTTCTCGTAAATTTGATGTTACCTAAGAACACGAGACTCTACAGCAGTAACTGCCTATTATAAATTGCTGTGAACTGTGTCATTTTCAAAATTAATCCACATCATATGATCTTTGGATAACGGTTATGATGCAGATATTTATATAATTCTTCAACCAATAATGATTTGGAATTTGGGAACCGAAATTTAAAACTAACCAGTAGGAGTTAATTTGAACTGAAATAAATTCATTCTAAATAAAGCTTTTATCTTAGACACATGGCATTTCTGCTTTTGCTTGCTGTCCTGTGAACACGTTGCCGTTTACCTTTCTTTCACCAAGTCTAACGTCATAAAGATGTAGAATAGGCACAGTGTTCTAAAACGGGCGCGCAGAGTATGCCTATTACGATGTGAATTCATATTAAGGGGGGTCATACACCTTAAACCCCTTGACACCCTTCGAATATGTGACTGTTGCAAGAACTGGGATATTTTATTTAAAATCATTACTTCCCAACTTTTTACAGCTGACTACATAAAATAGCTCTTGGAAAATAGTAACCAGAAAGTTTGTGTTGCCACAGATATTTTTTGTAATTTAATCGCTTTGTGACAAAAGTTTTCTTCACGTTTCCACCATTGCGCGCACGATATTTTAAAAATGGCTAATGGTTACATACTTTAAATTTGGATGGAATTCTTTATATGAGCCCTATTTTTTAACTGAACCTAAAATCTGATGAATATTTTAATATTAAAAATTTTATGGACGAAACATTACAGATTTTTTTAATAAAATACATTTTATAAACTCGACTCCAAATAAAATAAAATTTAACATGAAATTCTTAGAATTTTTGGTTCACAGTAATTTCCAAATGTTATAAAAGCTATATAATAAATATGGAATTAACTTATGCAACAGAATGTTTTAAACTGTGCGCGCAAGGTGGAAACATGACGAAAATGTTTGTCAAAAAGCGGATTAAATTATAAAAATATTTGTGGCAACACAAGCTTTCTGATCACTATTTAAGAAAGCAGCTATATTATGTAGTCAGCTGTAAAAAGTTGGAAGTAATTGCTTTTAAAACAAATAAGTTATTCCAAATCTTGCAACAGTCACATATTCGAAGATCGTATGGGTTTTAAGGTGTACGAGTTCTCTAAGAACGTTGTTTTCAAGTACGGTCACACCGTAAATCATTTTCTGCTCAACTTCGTGTCATTCAACATCTAAATTATTATGTATAACCAATACTGGTATCCAGAGTATAAATATTTTTGTTATTAACTTCATAATATTACCTGGTAGACACCATAAGGCATTTTATTTTGAAGCAGGAAACGTGAAAAATGGGCGATGCTCTGACAAGGATTCGTTTTTCGGAATTTGCTAGCTGGAATGCTTCCCGTAAGGCACGCCGTAAGGAGGCAGAAAAACCTTGCAACCCAACCTTGCCAAAAAAAAAATCTCTTTAACGAGCAAGCAAACTCTACAATATCTTCAAACTTATAGTATTTAGGTATACACTACAAATAAACACAAAAAAACATAAACTGGATACCATCATGATTTTGTTTCGCTTGACGATATTCAAAGTGAAAAATATGTCTTTCGGTCGATATCATTAAAGGTCTTATTTAAATATCGGCAATTTATCTACGAATTTTAGAATTCTTTGCTCATAAATTATTTGATCTAAATTTTAGGTTTGAAACGTGATAAAAAGAAGTAAAGGCGTACTTTATTGATAATTTTAAATGCAGTTTACTGTTCTAAATAATCTGAGATGAACTGACTATAAAATTTTAATGAATGAAAGGATGCTCTTTAATTATTTTAAAAGATTTTTGAAGTCTCTATAATTACAAGATAAATTGGATTGTACATGCATGATACAAGTTGTTCTGTCATATATCATTGGAAATATAAAAAGTTTCCATAGATTTTTCTAAAAATTAATCAACTTTTCTAGAAATTTTTAACCTATATATGCGTATTTATTCATCAGTTTAACAGATATTCCTAAATGTTTTGAATTCGCAAAAAATAATATTTTGATAAAAATTACTCTTTGCCATTTTCGAGCATATTAAATTCATAAACTTTTAATAACTGTTTTTATATCGCCTTCTACAATTCCAATCTCTAATGAACCTTTCGAGATCAAATTATTGATGCCAGATAATGCAACGTAAGCAAATAGGATAATCTACGATTGTTTATAAATGGAAAAAAAATCTATTTAAATTTCTTTCGAAAGCAGCTACTTTTTTTGTAGAACCTAAAATTTATCCTCTAGAAAATAATGGATATTTTCCTCAACAAATTATAGAACTTGCCAAGGAAGTGATGATACTTTTCCCTTTGGTAGATAAAGATTGGTTTTCCTTTTGGAATATGAGACCTTTTGTAGATTCTTAGGATGTGGTAATTCTTTGATATGCAAATAATTTTACGCTTTCCTAAAATATACTTTCCCTGCTGTCTATCATTCAGCAAATTCAGAAAATTTATTATAAAGTATAATATGAAATTCTTATTTGCAATATTATTTTTGCATTTAGCTTACCTCATTTATAATTTAACTTATAGCTACTTTAGCTTATTTAAATGAAAATAATTGAATATATCTTACCTAAATGCAATTACTTTATTTGCTACAGGGTCACCGAACCATTCCAGAAGGTGATGGACGCTTCCGTGTGATCGTCAAGAAGACACGACCTCTTCTGGGGATTGCAATAGAAGGTGGTTGTGATACAACTCAACCTTTACCGAGAATCATCAGTATACACGTGAGAACGATTTAGTTCATTTGTAAAAGTTCTATTTTGATTGAAATGTTAGTGTTATATAGCGCTGACTTATATTTTTGAGAATCCTTTTCTCGATGGTTAGGCAAATTTTTTAAACGGTTGTAGTTTTTCTGAATAATTTAGCTAATTTAATTTATTTCTGTTTACTGCATAATTCTGATCCATCTTCTAAGACTAGTACATACAAACTTCTTTGCGGTTCTGTAAGGCAATCAATATTTTAAGAAAGCTCTGTAAGAAGAGATACTATTGCTCTTATACCAACTTGAAGACTTAACACTGTACAAAATATAGTACCCAAAAAATTATGCCATTAATTATTAGGTAATAAATTTTATGGAATATGCTCTAAAATACATTTGTTGTAGCTCTTAGGTTATATTTTCTGAAGATCATTACATCGTTTCTCAACTTAAATTATTAGCTGTAGGGGAAAAAATTAAAATCGTATTCATTGTCGAATCACATTAGGGAAAAATGGAGAGCATTAGAAATTCAGCAGAATTTTTTTTTAATTCATATGGACAAGACTATGATCCTTTTCCATGTTCATGCAAATCAGTATTCTGCATCATCCTAAAATAGGGCTAAAAAGCGGTCATTCTCCATTCCTCGTGAAAGGGGCTACGCTGGTAGTCTTCCGTATCCTTCAATTTTGGGAAGAGAAAAGCATTTGGTATGTCTAACTTAATGAATAACAATGCAGATATCTAACGATATTCAATATATCTAACATTTGCATTGCTTTTCATGTTGCAATTAACAACAGCATGAAACGACAATATTTGGTTTAGTGTTAAGAAGCGAAACTAGACTGTTTGACTCTGAGTTAAGCAAAAATTAAGCATTCATGTTTTTAAATTGTTTAGTTCTGTATTGGAATATTTTAATTTACTTTCTTTAAAAAAATTGAAAATAATTTGAGAAATTTATAACGAATTCAATAAATTAGAGAAAGTAATCCAAAACTTTCTGTTAATTCTTTTTTCATGTGTAATTCAGAATTGGTTACGACCCATTTCTGGATTGATATACACAAAATTTGATTAATATGTAGATATTTCATTATTTTTTCCTTCTTCTTTTGCAGTTTTTCTATTTCGTTTTTAATGCTGATGAAGATAATATTGAATTTTGTTATTTTATTTCTTTATATGATACCGAAAGAAAATTTATTTCTTCGCTTTCTTTTCAGAGTTCCGGTGCTGCTTTCGAAGCGGGAGGCTTAAAAGTAGGGCACATTATATTGGAAGTGGATGGCATCGACATGCATCGACGACCCCACAGTGAGGTAGCTCAGCTTATAGCACACGCTTTTTATAGCACGGATAGGGATCAGGTTGAGTTCTTAGTCATGGAAACGAATAGGAATATGGAATCTGAGATCCGACGGACTTCTATCATGTTGTTTGACTGACAAGATTTATTGCTTCCATGCAGGAAAATGTTCTGTGTAAGTGCTTGTCTCCATATCATAAAATTAACTGAAACGTAACGATCCGATTGTGCGTTATTAGTTTTTAATCTGATAATGCAACGAAACGTGTTGTTCATTGGATTCTGGACCAAATGTTTGGTTATTGATGTCTGCGCATCACGGGCAACAGTCAATTTAGGCAGCAATGTCTGAACTGCATTCAGACGAATGTTAACCAGAGAACTTCTCCTGTGAATCATAGTTTTTACTCTACGGAACGACCTGTAGACAGAAAGAACTGGTGACTTTATTAGGCGTAAAAGCTCCAAGAACTCAGACACATGGCTATGAAATGCAAATGTTAGTCAGCGTGGCACTATGGCCAGGATATATTGTTCATGGCATGGATTCGCTGACGTCTTAAAAGATAAATGATTATAGCTTTATATCACAGATCAGATACATCACTACATAAAAATCGCTTATTCCGAGGTTAATAATATCCATAAATACGACAAATATCTTACATCATAGTGTTTCGTGAATGGTTTGAAAAGCATGATAGAAATTTTAAATTTTATTTCCCTTCTTGATCAACCTTTTAATTAGACGGATACTCTATGAAGAATTCCATAGGGCATTTAAGATCTAATGCAGTCATACACATTACGGGATAGGAAATGGTCACAGATGCTTGCTGTAAGATTTCCCTAGTTAATGAGACCTCTCATGACGGTTAACTGCAATGCTTGCTGTGAGGCGTATAGTCTAGGTTCATGATGGTGAAAATAAGACTAACCATTAACTATTAAAATTGACTATTTAAATCGTAAATAACAATACTATACTTAAATGATAGATAAATATTGAGGTTGGCTGCAAATGAAGTGAAACTCTAACTAAAGAAATTTTAATAATTTTCTCGAATTTCCGTGAAAGTAAACAGATTTCAATAAATATTAATAACTGAAAATAGTTCTGTATACAGTAAGAAATACTTTTGCGTCTAACTCAATATCGTTTCAGGCCATCAAATGACCACTGACTCCGTCGTCTACTTAAATGCTAACATAACCACAGAGACTACATTCTGTCTTTTTAACCTTATAATTTTTTTAAAATTTGTGGTGTTATATAATATTTAGGAGGAGAAAATTGCATATGAGATTACATCATATTTGTTATTATTTGTTTTATATACAAATTTATTATTTGTTAGTAGTTGTTTATATTACATCATATTTGTATTATTTGTTTGTTGTGTTATAAACTACGGAACAAGCACACGTTTCTTGTCTTTTGTTTTCTAAATACATATTTGAATTCAGTGATCGTAAATTTTTGTCAGCATAAAAAGGAAATAAATTTTAATGTAATGTAAAGTGCCATTTTCAAAAGAAATTTCTTACGTAATTAATGCAGACTTTGACGTCGATGTCAATAAAATTCTTAAAGCAACAACGTTATGTCACAAAAACTTCTCAACATTCTAAGCCTTTTAAATCCCATTCATAGCGTGTATTCGGAGAGGTTGTATATCGCAATTACAAATAGAAAACAAAGACTCGACGGAGAGTATACTCAAGACTGCAACAATGTTAAGTTTCAAATTATTTTTTTCATTCATATTTTTACAGTAATTTATTTCAGATGACTGGAAGAATACTAATTTGTATCGTTTCCGAATAAATGCGAAAATTTTATTTTTGACTTTTTATCTGAGTGAAATTAATTTTTTTTAAAAGCGAAAAGTACATTTCCTTGTTTATGGTTATAGTGAACGAATGCCACACAGTTTAGAACCAAGCGCACTGGTAACTGACAGCCATGAATGGCATTAAATGCATCATTGGAGATATGTCTAGTGATGGCGGTCAAAGGAAATTTGCATAATGGGCTCTGTACTTGCAATTCTATTTCAATCAGCAGACGCCACACGGTCCTTGTGGGTTTGCTCACCTGCAATAGATAAATTGCCATCAATTTCCCTTGCTATTCCATATGATCTGAAGTCGTTAAGCTGTGAATATGATAACATTCCTTTTCTGTGAAGTAATGAAAAAGATACTGAGCTAGTGCGATATGAAGCATTACTTATGGTACTAACATAATCTAAAATCTGTTGTAGTAAACTGCTTTGCAAGATCACAGTCTAGATATCCAGCCACACAGTGAATAAGCATAATGGTCATTTGTACCATGTAACTATACTTAAATTTCTCTAATTTTGGATTGAGAGCACTTTGTTTGATTACCTTCGAAAGCGTATCGCCTTTATATGACATTTAATGGCTTCATTGCATCAAAAATTAATATGAAATGTTTGGTGTTAAAGATTTGCCAATTTTTTCAATATCTGTGTCTTATTGTTATTTGAATTATTCTCTTCAAGATCTGAAACAGTATTTTAATATCACCAGACTCATTTTTATAATTAACGCAATCTCCATTCTTGTTTATATTTCCTTTTAAACATATGTGTAGATAATTGTTATAGTTATTTGTTACGCATATAAGATACATAGACTCATGCAGTAACAAAATACGCTCTGCATTTTATGGTCATAACAATATTTCTACATCTGAAGTTAGAGTGAAAACTTTCGTGCGTATATTTTCCTCCTCGCCGTTTTGTCATGAGAATTGTCAGTTTTATCGAGTCACTTTCTCCTCAAACTTATTTTGCTTTACGTCTAAAATACATGCAATACATCATGTATCAAAAGGGTGTGATCCCCTACTAGGCACATATTGACATGGAAGTTAACACTCAATATCAATGTTTTTGATTGCATTAATCTGATCATCTTTACTTTTCAAGTATCAATGGTCTGGTGCTAGAAATTGTTTCTTTACCCAACTTCACAAAACGAAAAGTGTTAAGTGGGGTGAACATCGGGGTAAAATTTATCTGAATTTTGTTGGTCGTTTATCCGGATGCGATTAAGAAAATCTAGAGTGCTAAGCATAATACTTTTTCACTGTCCTTAATGTGCATTTTTCTTGTTGTTAGGTGACAAAAACAAAGTCATAAAGAGCTGTAGGATGATCCGGCGCCTCCTTAAATCTGGAGTTTTAAAGGTCCGAAGCATGTGAACCTCGGCATAATCAAGCCTTACTGGCTATAAAATTCATCTGCGTTTGACATCGTCTATAACATCTGACAAATTATGGAGGAGGGACTAGACCTTTTATTCGCTAGTAATTATCAAATGTCCCCGTCCATCTACACCTGTTATTTGTTACTTTGTCTTCCTAGAGGTATTGCGTTAATTCTTTGCCTTATAACTGTTCCACAATTTCTCTGAAAACCATGAGTTGTCAAAAGCAAAGAGCAGCTTTTAAACTTATATCCTTGGAGAAAAGACAAGGTTATTTTCAGCAGTGATACAATGGGTATAGTAAACACTAGTATGAGACTATGTTAGCTACTGAATGTTCTTCATAATCTCAGCCTATTTATTCCTGATATAAATCAAATTCCTTTGGTGAAGTTATGTACGATTCAAATTGAAATTAGTTAAATTAAAATTTGGAGATTTCAAAATTATTAATAATTTTTGTTTTTTCAGAGCGAGAAAGACACCGCTGAAAGAAAATCCTAGTTCGTCAGGGAACTCTGAAAAGTATATTCGAAGAACAAACAGTATGAGTGGAATATTCAAAGAAATAACCTCCTAATCAGGAACTTTGCCAAACTAAAGAATCGAGCACTTTGATAATCCTTCAATACAGTGGTGAAGTGCAAAATGTCGGTATTGCTTCTAAAGTTTTTCAAGAAATGAAAAACCTAATAACGTGGTCACAAGTTTGACATTAAATGTAGCATAATGTTAATGCATCAACAATCGTTAAATGCATTCATATGCGTTCAATACATATCAAGAGCTTTATTTTGTATATAACACAATTTTGACGTTTTGTGATGAATGTAAAGTTTACCGTGAATCTCTGTTGTGCTAAATATTTGTAACAACCCATGTGCTTTCTTTTTTTTAGGAAAGAAAAAAGCGACATTTTATACATTATTTGAAAATGCCACTGAATTCTATTTTCACTCAAGCTTCTTATGAACTTATTTTGACACTGTGTAACAACGCCACTGATATATATTTCCACTGAGATGTCTTGAAACCACTAATTTTTTATGAATTGTGCAAAACGGTGGTGTGCTTTGTATCATTCATAATATGTAACAGAGCAAAATTTGTTTTGAAGATTTCATATTCTTCTTTTATAGTTGTGTCAGTAACTCTGTATTCACTACACTCGTGCACTGGTGAAATACGAGAAATGATATCGTCTTGCCTTACACATGATTATGATTCTGATTGAACGATTAAATATTTCATGGTTTTTATTTTATTTATGAATTCTCATTGAATGTTTTACTAACTGATCCTTAATTTTTCACATTGTCACCTAATTTTGGTAGTTTTTATGGCTGTACATAAACTAATATTATTTAAATTTATTTAAAAGTTACGTGCGATATTTTGCAGTAATTTTACGATTATTTAGCCGTCGGAGAAAAGTTATCAATATTTTTAATATATTTTATATCCTTCCTCAAATATCAAACATTTTCGAGAAATCTTCTGTTTTCGCTGACAAGGCGTTATTTAAGTAACAAAAGTGCACCAATAGCCGATTAGATTAGACAGCTGAATACTGATAACTGTGCACAGGCTGAAATCCTGGCGAACGAGGTGGCGTTTTCATCGTTTTCTCCATGAATAAAATAGATCTAGGTTCGATTCCAGGTGAATGGGCTGGCTGCATGGACGTTTTCGTGGTTTTCCCCAACTGTAACGTATATACCTCTCTCAGAAAGTCCTCCGCGAAGGCATCCCTTCTCTTAGGCAGTTAGTCTTCCCGTGCTTTGCCTTAATCAGTTAAATATTCTGCAGGTGAATATTTTCATCCGAAGACTAAGTTAATCTAACATAAAATGCTGTTTGAAAGCGCTTCACGGAGACAAGGAATTACCATTTTTAGTT